ATAATTAGCAACCAATTTTATATTGTCACAAAATGTTTGATTTTACAAGACTAAACATCTGGTCGCTAATACTCCATCACAAAATGTCCCAATTTGGTCGCGAAAAACAAAATAATGACATTTTTAACGATAATGATATTTGGTCACTAAAAGACAAATAACTTTCTCTACAACACATTTTTGTTGGTAAAAATCAAAGTTGGGATAGCTAAAAATGCACAAAAATTAAATGTCATCCAATCATTAAAAAATAAAATAAATAAAATAATTGGCATCGACATATCAAAGACATTCTATTCCTGAATCATAATGAGTATATAGCTTTGAGTCTATTCAAAGTTCCAAACTCAAAGTTTCCAAAATGCTTTTAAAAAGTTTTCAAATTCAAAGTTTCCAAAAATTGACATATCAAGTTGCAATCTCAATCAACCAATAATCGTTGCTATTATAAGGAAGCAGAGCAATGTCACAGTGATGCCTCTTATACTTTTTATCAAGGGACTCCTCGTTGTCAGCATCAAAACCTACTTGTCCGGAAGCTATTTCAATGTCTTGGAGAGAAAATCCCTAGAACTACATGCAGGACTAGAAACTATTCTCTTGCAATGCAATAACTCTTCAGCATTTCTTGCAACGATATGCAGGGCTAGAAACTATTTCTCTATTCCCAGATGTTCCTACCTCATAGGAGACCTCTTATGTTAGCAGGCAAGGATTAGCTCCAAACTTAGAAGTGTCTATTACCGCAATTGTAAGAATCACCTGTCATCATGGAGCACATCATCCTTTCAGAAAAATGGAAAGCCCCCATAAAATAATATTGTATCATTACTTTCACAAATTGGATTACAAGTAACACCCATCTATTATCTTTGTTGATTGTAGGGTCAAGAGGAACATGTATACAATGCAAATGAAGTTTTTAGTTTTGACATTTTGTCAAACATATAAAAAGACATAAATTGAACAGAAATTTGAAACAAGTAATAAAAACCCATCTAAAACAAGCACCAAGGACTTCTCTCAAACCAAGACCTCTTTATCGAAAAAATAAATAAATAAATAAAAATAAAAATGTCAAAAATCTATCAAAATATATGCCAAAACAAAGATATTGTCCTTAAATTCCAATATCTTGAACAGGTGATTCTTCTAAATAGCTAAGAAAAGACGAATATGGTTCTATAAATTGATTTCCAAGTATTAGATGTGTCATCATTCATTTGCTATTAGGCCAATCCAAACTACAAGTTGGCAACATAAAATTAGAGTGTCAAAACAAAAATTTGTAGTATCACATAAACGAATGCGAGTACTAAAATCAGTGTTTACTCTCACAATGCATCATTATCGATATACATTCCAAGGATTAACAATTCCCTATATGAAAAGAACTTATAGGTTGTAGCAGAAATTGTGTGTGTGTACAGGGAATTGACAATTTTTTTTCTGTACATATTTTTTTTCTGTTTCTATCTCTTATTGGGTTAGGAATTCAAGATTATTTTAATCATACTGAAATAAATATGTTCTTTTGATTTAATCAATAAATTTGTTAGGGGTGGTGTGATAGAACTATTGGTTGCGTTTGGTAAAGTTTTGTAAATATAGTTTGAGAGTATGAGTTGTATTTTGAGCATGGTTCTAAATATCGGCCGATACGTATCGGAAAAATAGGGCACCGCGACGGATACAGGCCGGTATACCGCTGAGATTGAAAATCGCAGGAATATCGGCCGAGTCCCGGTACGTATCGGCCTGTAACCGTCACACAATTACACAAGCCGCAACGGGCCAATACTCACCGGTTTGGACCGGTACGGGAAAGAAAATGCTGAAAAACCTGTAAAATGATTTTTAAAATTTCACAGTCGTGACACCCGATTCCTGATACGTACCGATTGATACTACCGATACCGATACTCCGCAATCGATACCATTACGTTACCCGATACCGCGATTTAGAACCTTGATTTTGAGTTTGTAAGTTGTGGAATTAGGATTTGAGTGTAGAAAATTTGTTTGGTTATGATTTTTAAATAGAGTGTTGAATTGAGTTTTGAATTGAGTGTGTAATTGAATTTTGAAAGTTTGATTTGACATGTGAAGTAAGAAAATTTGTTTGGTTATGAGTTTTGGAAAGAGTTTTCAAAACTTAATTCAAATTGTTATAACTCATAACAAAACACACTACTTTCACACTATTGAAAATTCTAATAAACACTCATAACCAAATTCTTTTTAAAATTCAATTAAAAAAAAATTTATTATTAACAGAAAATAACATTAATCAATTCTTTAATATGAAATACTACAAAAAATAATTTTTTTTTCAAAATAAATATTCAAAAAAATTTAAATCATAAATATTTAAATAATTTAAATAATTTATTAATAAGTAAAAAATTTAAAATAAATATTCAAAAAATTTAAATCGTAGAAATTTAAATAATTTAAATATTCAAAAATTTAAATATTAAAAATGTTAATATTTTAAATTTAAAAAACCTACAACTTAAATCGTAACCAAAACACATAAAACCAAAACGTTCAAACTAAGAAAAATTTATTTTTAAACCTCATTAACCAAACACATAACTCAAAACTCTATACTACTTTCACAACTCTACTCTCAAATCGTAACCAAATACATAACAAAAAAAATTAAAATATTTAAAAATATTTTTATAAAATAGAGTTTGAATTTATTTTTATAAAATATTTTAAAATTTAAAAAATTAAAATCGTAATATTTAAAAATTAAAATATTTAAAATATTCAAAAAATTAAAAAATTAAAAAAATCGTAACATGTTTAAATATTAAAATATTTAAAAACTTAACAAAATTAAAATATTTTTAAAATATTTAAATATTTAAAATATTGATTTGAATTGAGTTTTAAAAAGTGTTTTGAATTATGTGTTTAGTTATGAGTTTTGAAAAGTAATGATTATGTTTTGAATTGAGTTTTGAGAAATAGGTGTAGAATTATGATTTGAAAGCCTAAAACAAACAACACACTGAAATCAGTAAGTGAAACTATAATTTGAGAGGCTTACCCAACGGAGCTGTTTTTTGGTTTAAATGGCATTACGACAAGGCTTTATAGATGAATTGGGTTGATTGGAGCATCTAGTAATTCAACCTAGTTTGGAGTTGTATTTTAGCCTAGCACAGGTTCGGGGTGAATCTATGGAGGCGTGTTCAAGCGCAGCTCAATTGCCATGTCTGAATCAATATTCATTCAACTAGAAGGATCAAAAAGACTAAACATAGAAAGGAAGAGAGCAAAACAATTGTAGCAGACAGACATGGATTGACTGGATACTATTTTTTATCCCCTTCTCTCTAGATGAGCTAGCGTGGATAGGCAAACAAGTAAATAACATATATAGAAACTTCATTATAGAAACTTCATCATCGAAACATATATGTAAATAAAACTAGTATTTTTCATGAGCATGCTGAGCTGAGAGCTTGTTTGCTAAATGACCACGCTCATGCTTGGTTCATCAACTAGGGAAAGTCTTGTCGTCTTGAGCCTGAGCTTTTTTTAGACCTCTATTCATTTCTAATGCCAAGTCTAGATTTTTATATTCTTATACTCTGGTGTTGTGATTTTTTTTTCTTCCCTCAACTACTTCCAGTGGAACTAAACTGGTAGTATTTTCTACCTTTTTTTTTTTTTTTTTTTTTTCTTTTTTGCCAAGAACATGCATAAATAAACAAGACAAGTAATTCCAAAATGCTAACCAAACATTATTACCTCAACAACATTCCCCAATTTCTTCATTTTCTCAACAACCAAACAAATGTTACTACTCAAAAACCCTCTAAACTCAACAAATAGAAAAAACCATAAAAAGAAAAGGCATTATTTTTCCATTCATTCACAGCTGTAACTACTGTAAACTTCTATATCAACAGGGTCACTTGTACTGGAGAAGCCTTTGAAGTTGGCATCTACTAGGAAAATGTTGCTGTGAACTGTGCCTCAAGTGCCTGTTCTTATCCTAGTCACTTATTGAACACTTGCTAACTAAAAATAAATAAATTATATGGTTCATAATATATACAAATTTTATTGCTACATCATTTTAGTTAAAGTTTTGGTATAAATTTTTTATATATTTAAAATTTTCATTAATATTTTTATGGGGTCATCCGACCAAAAGTATTCTTATTTACTGATATCCTAATTAATTATATTTACTAAAGTTGGACACTATCATATTGATATGTATATTATTAATATATTTTTTTTGTGATTTTATTTTGGGACATGAGATTTTCAGTCTCAAATTCTTTTATCATTGTGTCTTAAAACACTCACAATCTTTAGACTATGCCTAAATTTTACATATTTCAACGGTGTAAACGTAATGAAATAGGAGCACACAAAAATTTAACAAGAGATGATCCTTTATCTAATTTTGTATATCTAACATTACAATAATTGGTTCTAATTTTTAGATTTGAATAGTAATGTCCCAAAAAATAACAACAATGTTAAGAATAAAGAATCAATAATAAAATGATTTACAAAAAATTTATAAAATAAACAATTTTAATTATAATAATGATATCACATCATTAATAACATATAGTATCACCACCAATACAACAAAAAACTTATATAGGAGGGATGAAACTCACAAACCATCCTGCCACCTACACGTAAAAAATAAAAAAAAAATAAAAAAACCTATTAAATAGTGATATCTTATCAAAATTAAACCAAAGGGAAGCTTCTTTATGTTGTTTACTAATCTCCCTCAAATAATTGACTATGAATAGTAGATAGTGAAAATCACAAAATTATACAATAATTTCGAAATATTTTATGACTATATTCTTTCATAAATTATTATTTATTGTCTTTCATTGCTTAATCACCTAGGGACACTTTGGGAAGAGATTAAAAAGTCAATTTTTTGACTTTTTAATTTTTTTATCCAAAAAAACCTAGCCTCTTGCCAAAAAAAATTACCAAAAAAATTAAAAAATAAAAAAAAAATTAATTTTTTACTAACTTTTCAACACACCACCTAATAAAATAGCTCATCTATCCACTATTTTCCCTAATTACAATATCAAAAAATATCACTATCACTAGTCCATAATACGGAACTGAATAGTAACGAGATAACCATATACTCTCTTCTTTCCTTCCTCATACATGTTCTACCAAACTTTTAATCTTCTTTCCACAACATTTGCTCCCAAGAAAAAGCCCTCCTCTTCTCTACCCAATTATGCCCACATCACCACCAGACATGGGTAGCAATTCAGGCACACCACCCCACAACCACCACACCATCACCGTATGGGAAGTGAACCAAGCCCGATTAGACAGCATGCGCCAAAAAATCACCGCCACACCGGTCCTCCTCAGCAAGACCGCCGGCCACAGCTCCTGCTCCATCTTCCGAGTCCCCCAAACCCTCATCGACATCAACGGCGGCGCCTATCAACCCCACATCGTCTCCATCGGCCCCTACCACCACTCCCAACCCCACCTCCAAATGATCGAAGAGCACAAATGGCGTTTTTTAGGCTCACTTTTAAGTCGAACCCAATCCAAAGGCCTCACTTTAGAAGACTACCTCAAAGCAATTCAACCCCTCGAATCCAAAGCCAGAGATTCCTACTCCGAAACCATCCGATTCGACGCCGATGAGTTCATCGAAATGTTAGTCCTCGACGGCTGTTTTATAATCGAATTGTTTCGCAAAATAGGCAACGTGGTTCGTTTCGACCGAAACGACCCATTAGTGTCTCTGTCTTGGGTATACTCGTTTTTTTTACGAGATCTTATTCGTTTAGAAAATCAAATCCCTTTCTTTATCCTACAACGCTTGTTCGATCTCTCGATAATGCCCGGAGAAGAGTCCGGTCCTTCTCTTGCCAAACTCGCAATCGATTTCTTCAACAACGCCATCCAAAGGCCTGATGATGTCATCGCCCAGTGCCAAACCCTTCAAGGAAAACACTTGCTTGATTTTCTCAGATCGAGTTTTATTCCTAAGGATCAGCAACAATATAACCAACGGAATCCGGCAGCCGCCACGCATGTAATCCAATGCGTCTCCAAGCTCCGCCGTGCCGGAATTAATCTCCGGCAGGGTAAGGTGGCGGAGGATAGCTTCCTGGTGGTCAAATTCAAGAACGGGGTGCTCGAAATGCCGACGATCTCCATTGACGATTTCATGAGCTGTTTCATGATAAACTGTGTCGCCTACGAACAGTGTCAGAAAAATTGTTCAAAGCACTTTACGACGTATGCCACATTTCTAGACTGCTTAATCAACACGTCTAAAGACGTGGAGTACCTATCGGATCAAAACATAATTGAAAATTATTTTGGGACCGATACTGAGCTAGCAAAATTCATCAACAATTTGGGGAGAGATGTGACTTTTGACATAGAGATTTGTTATTTGTCTGGGTTGTTTAGTGAGGTGAATTAGTATTATAAGAATGGTTGGCATGTACAGTGGGCGAGCTTTAAGTACACTTATTTTAGAAGTCCGTGGTCGTTTATATCGGCATTGGCTGCGTTTGTTCTTCTGGTTCTTGCTGTGTTACAGACTTTGTATTCTGTGCTTAGTTACATTAAAGAGCCGTGAAAATTTAGAAATGGATTGAGAAAATATGTAAAATATGATTATATTTGATTCACATCTGTTTTTTTCTTTTTGGAGTCATTAATTAAATTCATATTCCAGATATAGTCTTATTGAAAAATGTTAGATATGCATACATTTAATTTAATTTTTTTTTTTTTTTTTTTTTGTGATGCCAAGTGTCTATTAATAATTATTTTTAAGAGGGTAATGTATATGATGAATTATATTTTTTTGTTCTTGAATAATACATTTTATGATATTTTGTTTTATAACGTTTTAATTGCTAATTTTACTCTTACAATATTGAATGTGTGTTAAAGTTCCAACAGAAAGTACCAAGAGGAAACAAGAAGTGGGGTTGATTTTTAGATCTTTAAGTGACTGGTAGGTGAGATCAAGGTAGCTATGCAAGGCATTTGTTTTTTTGAGCAATGTTTGGTATTATAAAAAATGTTTTATAAAAATGATTATAAAAAATTTTTGACTTTTAAATTATATATACAGTAAGTTATAAAGTGTAATATAAAAATAGATATTCTTTCATAATTATTTTTATGAAGAATTTTCATGATGCCTAGCATTTTATTTTATTTTATTTTATTTTTTTATGAATCAAAAAAGAAAGAAGCAATGCATTGTTTTTTTGGGGCTGAAAGTTGATATTTTCTTGTAGTTATTTAGGCCTGTTTGGGAACAAGTTAATTTAGTAATTTTTTTGCTATTTGACTAAAATGTGAACTAAAAAAAATTAGTATGTTTAGGATGACTTTTTGACTTTTTACGAAAAGATGTGCAAAAAGTAGAGAGAAAAGAAAATCTTTGACTTTTTGGTATGAATTGTTGACTTTTTAGCTAATTTAGTAATTTTTTAACTTTTTAACTAAAAAGTTTAGTTGTCAAACGAGGCCTACGTGTATGGAAAAGAAGAATAAATTATTTTTTTTTATTTTGGGTAACGTGACGTGATGCTTTAATTTGATATTGATCACTTATTTTATTTTTTTTGTTGAACTTTTTTAAGAACAACTTACAAATGTCAAGACATAAATAATATAAAATAATATTTTAAAATTACTAAATTATTTTTTGAAGAGTAATGTTATTCAAGTTAAAAAAAAAAATAGATTTATTTTTCAAATCTACTAATGTGACAATATATTAAAATATTTAAAATAAATCTCTCTTATATATTTTTTAATCATTTTATTTATATATTATTAAATCTAAAAAATAAATTTATATATCATTTTTCAATACGATAAACAATTCTATCTAGCTATCAAGTGCAGATTCCTTTCCAATCTAGGAAAAGAGCATTGGGAGATCGTGGTGATTAAGGGATTTTCAGGGAAAATTCAGTCTATGCATTGAGAACTTATTCAGTGCAACTTGGGCACTGCGACATGATCCTCTAACTCCAACATGATTAGATGAAATGGTGAGACTCACTAATTTATATATATATTAATAAGAATAATGTTATATGTATTAATTAATATACACACTAGTGTACTAACAGATAACATGACATCATTTGTATAGTTTTGAATATTTGTAACTTGTATAATAAATATAGTCCATAATAATTTCATAAAATTAATTAGTATATTAGTGTGTATATTAATTAATATATCTAACACCACATATTAATAATTAAAAAAATAACAAGAAGAGTTGAGAATCGATAATTGATTAATGATAAGATCACTCACACCTCACAGCCGAATAATATTTGCTTTAATTATAACAAAAAAAAAATCGTATTGAATGGCTATATCTTGGACACTTGTTCAATAAATAATAGCGATCATCATTTTTCTTGCTTTTAAAGTTAGTCAAAAAATCAAAATTATTGGCCATTACTCTTCACAATGTTTTAGGCTTGCATTTTTAAATCAAGTAGGTAGCTATCCATATTGATGGTGATTTATCCACATTGACTGTGATTGTGACAAAATATATATAATATTAATTTTCTAGAAAAATCTCAATAATTGTGTTTGGCTTTAATTTTTTGAATTTAATTTTTAAAAAAATTAGTTTTTTTTTTTATTTTTTTTCATATTTTTTTATTTTTAGTGAATTTTTTTAAAATTTTAAGCATTTGTTTATTTTTTTAAATGTACCGATATATCTAAAAAGTAAAATATTTGTAAAAAATATTTAAAAAAATTAATAAATACACAAAAATATAAAAACTATATTGAATTTTCGTTTATTTTTTTAATTTTTGGTATTTAGTAAATTTTTTTTGCTATTTATGTTAGGTGTGTCTAAAAATAAAATAAAAAAAAAACTTAAAATATTAAAAAAAAATCAGTAAAAACAAAAAAATACGAAAAATAAGAAAATAAAATTTTTTGAAAAGTGTTTTTAAAAACTGAAAAATAACAATGTGTTTCTGTGGAATTTGTGTAGATTTAATTATAAAATAAATTTGAATGATAGATTAGCTACCTTGTTCGGCTTAGCTTTGCCATGTAAATATAAAAAAAATTATACAACGTCCAAACAAATTTAGGTGATATCTTAACTTGTGTTTTATCGGTTAAAATGGCAAAATATACTATTTGTATATTGACATTTTAGACTATAATAAAATAACTATCCTAAAATAATTGATGTGAAACAATACTTTCAAATCATTAAATAACTTCTCGTACATGTGAACCATTGAATTTTTGCAATTATAAGCAAATCTATCCGACTAAGAGCGTCTCTATCCCCATTTTTTAAAATTGGCATGTCAAATTTTTTTAAACGTTTGGATATCAAATAAACATATACAAATTTAACATCTCTAAAATATATATATATATATATATATATATGTCAAATTTATTATTTTATACTTTTATTTTTTTGCTTTAATTATTTTTTGAACTAATAATTTATTGCCATTAAAATTAAAATAATAAAAAAAAAAGCAGAATTTGACATCTTTTATGTCAAATCAAAACAGGTTAATTGGTAAAAACCACATTACCAAACCGTTGGTTTAATTTGGTTAGATTTCATCGGTTTGGGCTTTCATAAATTGGGCCAATTTTTATGATAAAAAATGACTGGGCCTAAAATCTTTAACAAAATAATAAGCCCAATTAAAATCTGCAACAAAATCCAAACCCTATTCATAAATTTTTAAAAAACTAACAAAACAGAAATGAGCAAAGAAGCTCAATGACTCTTTACAAAATAGTTAATGGAATCCAACAAAAAAACAAAACACAAGACCACAAAAATTTCAAACTTAGAAAACCAAAATCAAGCTGAATATGATTATTAGTTTTTTTGTGTTTTTTTTTTAATTTTAAAATAATCGGGTGCCTAGGTAAATCCCCACTAATTCTGAGATACACGCAAATCACCCCCTTTATACGGATTGGGTAAATCTTTGGCTATGCTCACAACCATGACTCCAAAGATTTTTTTTTTTGAAGTACAAAAATTGATAAAATTAAACATTATCTAAATACCAATCAAAACTGATTGATTTTGAATGGTTCTATTAATCCAATTGGTTTTTTCAATTTTGTTTATGACCTTATCCATGATTTTTTTTTTTCAATTTTTATACAATAATATTGAGATTTTGCAATTTTATCGGTCAACACACACATACATATAAATGCTTTGGTGAGAGTGGTGGGAGTGGGTGGCATTATAGCTGTAGAGGGGCATTTGAGTGTTATAGTACGATTTCAATGAAATCAGAAGCATTGGTGAGAGAAAAGGATGCTCTAGAAGGGATAAGGGTATGAAGGAGCTGAATGAATTCATTGACAAAAGTGAAGTGAATGATCTACCCCTGCTACGTAGAAGATATACATGGTGCAACTCCAGGAAAGGTGAAAAATGAAGTAGAATTGACAGGGTTTTAGTGGAACCAAAATGGTTGGAATCATTTAATTTTTCCTGCTCCACCAATCACCTCCTGCCACGTGGCAAAGGGGGGGGTGAGGGGTGACCCTAAAAGGGGGTCCCAAGCATTATTCATTGGTAAAAACCACATAACCAAACCGTTGGTTTAATTTGGTTAGATTTCATCGGTTTGGGCTTTCATAAATTGGGCCAATTTTTATCATAAGAAATGACTGGGCCTAAAATCTTTAACAAAATAATAAGCCCAATTAAAATCTGCAACAAAATCCAAACCCTATTCATAAATTTTTAAAAAACTAACAAAAAAGAAATGAGCAAAGAAGCTCAATGACTCTTTACAAAATAGTTAATGGAATCCAACAAAAAAACAAAGCACAAGACCACAAAAATTTCAACCTTAGAAAACCAAAATCAAGCTGAATATGATTATTAGTTTTTTTGTGTTTTTTTTTTAATTTTAAAATAATCGGGTGCCTAGGTAAATCCCCACTAATTCTGAGATACACGCAAATCACCCCCTTTATACGGATTGGGTAAATCTTTGGCTATGCTCACAACCATGACTCCAAAGATTTTTTTTTTGAAGTACAAAAATTGATAAAATTAAACATTATCTAAATACCAATCAAAACTGATTGATTTTGAATGGTTCTATTAATCCAATTGGTTTTTTCAATTTTGTTTATGACCTTATCCATGATTTTTTTTTTTCAATTTTTATACAATAATATTGAGATTTTGCAATTTTATCGGTCAACACACACATACATATAAATGCTTTGGTGAGAGTGGTGGGAGTGGGTGGCATTATAGCTGTAGAGGGGCATTTGAGTGTTATAGTACGATTTCAATGAAATCAGAAGCATTGGTGAGAGAAAAGGATGCTCTAGAAGGGATAAGGGTATGAAGGAGCTGAATGAATTCATTGACAAAAGTGAAGTGAATGATCTACCCCTGCTACGTAGAAGATATACATGGTGCAACTCCAGGAAAGGTGAAAAATGAAGTAGAATTGACAGGGTTTTAGTGGAACCAAAATGGTTGGAATCATTTAATCTAAAATTATGGGGGTTACCTAGAGCACTGTCAGATCATAGCCCTTTACTCTTGATAGAGGATGAGAGAGATTGGGGCCCCAGGCAGTTTAGGTTTTTGAATGCTTGGACTCTTCATCCAAATTTCTTACCTTTTGTGGAAAAGTAGTGGAAGGAGCATGATGTTCAAGGCTGGGTTGGATTCAGATTATTTAAGAAGATGAAAGAGTTGAAGCTAGCTTTGAAACAGTGGAATAGTGAAGTATTTGGCAATATAAATACTAAATTAAAACAAGCAGAAGATGACTTGCATCAGATTGATCTTTTAGCAGAGGAAAGAGCGCTTGAAAGGCAAAAAAAGCTCTAAGAAGAGAGGTTAGTGATGAAGCTGGCAGATTGTATAGAATGGTGGGGTGGATGTGGCTTACAAAATCATGACTAAATTGGGACTTGAAAGGAGACAAAAATACAAGATATTTTCATGTGGTAGTCAAAAGTAGACAGGGGAGAAATGAGATTAACTCATTACTTATTAAAGATGAGGTTTTTGAAGATCCTAATAAAGTAAAGCAGGAGGTTCAAACATGTTTTCGAAGACAATTTAAAGAGGAGTGGAGTTCAAGACCTGTATTGGAGGGACCATTCAAGTTAGTTAAGAACAACCCATTTTTTGATCTGTTGGAATTAGAATTTTCTGAGGCAGAGATAAGGTGTGTTGTCAAGGATTGTGATGGTAATATGGCTCCAGGCCCAGATGGGTACAACTTTTCATGTGTCCAAAAGATGTGGAAGGTTATGAAGAGTGATGTGATCAACTTTATGAGTGAATTCCATAAAAACAGTAAGTTGGTTAAAGGGATCAATAGTTCTTTTATCACTTTGGTGCCTAAGAAGGAGAATCCTGTGGGTTTAGCTTATTATTGACCAATTAGTTTGGTTGGCTCATTGTATAAGATACTATCAAAAGTACTATCTTCTAGGTTAAAAGCAGTGCTCCCTCAAATTATAAGTGAAAATCAATCAGCATTCCTAGGAGGTAGGAACATATTAGATGGTGTTTTGGTGACAAATGAGGTGGTGCATGGATGGAAAAAGTCTAGGAAAAGAGGTTTGATCATAAAGCTAGATTTTGAGAAAGCCTATGACTCATTAAATTGAGACTTTTTGGTTTCAATGATTATAAATTTTGGATTTTGAGATAAATTGATGGAATGGATTAAGGAGTGTATTACCTCTTCTAGACTATCTGTGCTTGTTAATGGAGCACCTATTGGTGAACTTAGTCCACAAAGAGGGCTCAGACAAGGGGATTCCCTATCTCATTTTCTGTTCAACATAGCAGCAGAGGGTTTAAGCATATTATTGTCAAGAGCTTTGGATATGGATTTGATAAAATGGGTGAAGATTGGAGCATGTGGGGTAGTTTTGACCCATTTACAGTTTGCAGATGATTTCATCTTGTTGTGTGAAGCTGAAGTTTTGGAAGTCAGAAATTTGAAGAGAATATTGAGGTGTTTTGAACTATTGTCAGGTCTGAGGATAAACTATCACAAAAGTGTAGTGAGTGGTGTGGGAGTTCCAGTTGAATCTATGAATGAGTTTGCACCTGTGCTAAATTGCAGAGTGAAAAGATTACCAATTAAGTAACTTGGATTACCATTGGGGGCTAACCCAAGTAGAAAAGCAACTTGGAGGCCTGTTTTGGACAAAGTCAGAACTAAACTAGTAGGGTGGAAAAGGAGATTACTCTCATTTACAGGGAGATTGTCACTGATAAAGTCTGTACTTTCTTCTTTGCCCATGTATTATCTGTCATTGTATAAAATGCCACCGCAAAAGAGCTGGATAAGCTTCAGGCCTCATTTCTCTGGGGTGGGTCTGAATTAAGAAAGACGGTTCATATAGTAAAATAGAAGGAAGTCTCCAAACATGTTGACCAAGGAGAATTAGGGGTTAGGAGAGTTAATGAGGCCAATGCTTGCCTTTTATTAAAATGGTGGTGGTGGTTTGGAGTTGAGAGCAAAGTACTTTGGAGAAGAGTCATATGCAGCAAATACGGGGTAGATTAGTGGAATTGGAGGCCTTTAGTCACATCTAACAGCAGGTGTTCAAAAATTTGGAAGGATATTGTGAAAGGTATTGAACAAAATAACAGCCTTATGGTGTTTTTTTCTAGAAAATTGTCAGCTAAAAGTGGGTAATGGCCATAGGGTGAAGTTCCTGATGGATAAATGGTGTGAAAATATAAGTCTTAAAGATGAGTTCCCACTCTTATATAGACTGGTTGTAAACAAGGGAGAGTCTTTCTCTGCAATGATGGAAAGGAAGGTGGATACAAGTGAGTGGTTGTTCCAATTCAAAAGGGAGCTATATGATTGGGAAAGTGTGGAGGTTACCAGATTGATAGGATTTTTAGAGGCTTGTTCTGTCTTCAGGTCATCCTTACAAGATACACTAGTGTGGGAGGCTTCAAAAACAGGTAGGTTTACAGTTGAATCAGTCTACAAATTTCTGGCAGGTGGGTTTGGCAGCTACAGTAGAACAAGCAAAAGGGTGTGGGTGAAGTACATTCCTCCTAGAGTTCAATTCTTTGGGTGTCTTGCTTGGAAAGGTAAAATTAAAACAACGGACTTTCTTCTTTGGATTGGTGTTCTCAATGTAAATGCATCAACCCTCTACATTCCATACAAATCTGTGGATGAGTCACTCAATCATGTCCTATTGTCTTGCCCAGTGACTTGGAGAGTGTGGTCAGAAATACTAAATTGGTGGGGAGTACATGGTGTACTACCAGATACAAAGGAGGCTATTCTTCACTGGTGGGCAAAGTTTAGGCTCAGCAAAAAAGAGAGGATGATGTGGGAAGCTCTTCCTATTACAGTGTTGTGGTCTGTGTGGAAACATCGTAATGAATGCTTGTTTAGGGATGTTATCCCAAATGTTGAAGGTGTGTGTGATAGGATAAAGTTTAGAATGGATGTGTGGTTCAAGGAAGTGTTTAAAGATAATAAATTCACAATGCATGATTTTCTCTTTAACTTGAAGCATATTAGATTCTGTTTGGGTGGTGGTGCGAGGGCAGTGCTATAAGAATGCTTAGTTCTGGGCTATCTTGCTTTTGGGATATCTCATTTTGTTCAGTGGGGGACACGTAGTGTGATATTCAATGGCTGGGTGGATTGATGGAATTGGAATCTTGGTGGAGGTTAATTATTAGTTTTGTTGCTGCTGGTACTGCTATGGTTTTCTAGTCTAGGTTTCTTGGTGAAATTGGGTGAGGCTCTGGAACTCAGAGTTTCGTTTTGGGGTGTTTTGTTGCAGGGCCACGCAGTGTGATCTTCATTGGCTGGGTGGATTGATGAAGTTGGAATTTTGGTGGAGGTTATTGATGGGTCGTTGAACACACCAAAATTAAATACTAAACTATACCAAATTCAATCAGAATAATGGCAAGTCCAGGTATCGATCCACAGGAACTATTGTGAAATTAAACTAATTTAATTGTCAAATTCCTAAATTAATTTTGACAAAAAGATTGGTTGTTTATAACCTAATTTAATAATGAATAAATTAAACTAAGGAATTAAATTATCAATAATAAATGAAATTGGGTTTACTGAATTGGGGGAAAAATCCTAGGGTAGAGAATTCACCACTAACCACATAATTAGGGTTTCCAATTGAATTAATTATGCTATGGTTTGAACGGATTAATACTTCGCAACTACAAGCTCAAAGCATTTAAGAAGAAGATCATCACATTCAATGTACGAGCACGAATCGTTCACTCTAAACTAAGGTAGTGATACGACTCGTTCCTCGTAGCATGGTTCGTCTCATACCTTGAATGTGAAGGAATAGAAAACTCATGTATGGATAATATTCAACAATCACAGAAAGTCAAATATTCGAAGAGATAATAAAAAATATAATAAAGAAACTTCTAAATCACCATACAAATGTTCAAACCTTTACATAATTAAAGATAAAAAAGAAAACAAAATAATTACATGGCTAGGGTTTCATCAAAACCCTAGAAAAGACGACTAGCCACTCATGGAGGAGTGGAAGGAGGTAGAAGGAGAAGGAACCACCATGGCAGACATCTTGGAGCTTTTGTTTCTCTTCCTTTCCAAACCCTAGCCTCTCTCTTTAGGTCAAAACAACTTCCGAACCTTAATCCAGCCTTTTACTTACCTTTTTATACTTCCAATCTCGTCCAAACAAGTTTAAAACGTTGGTTTGACTTTCCCAGAAAAAGTCAACGCACGTGCGGGAAAGTCAACGCACGTGCGGTAAAGTCAACGTACGTGCGAAAAAAGTCAACACACGTGTGGAAAAGTCAACTCTGTCCAAATTCTGTCTTTTTGCCCATTTTATGCTCCGACGATGTACAACCTGATTGACACTCAACACACATAAAGTATACAGTTTGACCAACAAGTGAAGTTAAGAGATTCTAATTAACGGCCTCAATGATGTACATTTCGGCCTTAATCACATCCCCCAACTTACCACTTGCTAGTCCTCAAGCAAGTAAAATAAAATTAAATTAAATTAAACAAAATCTATCTATTTCCTCTTTCATGAGAAAACGGTCGCATTTAGCATATGCAACAAGCCTTTAAACCACAAGGTTACCCCAAGTGGACGAGTAAAGTCTCGTAAGGGTTTTCAGAAATGATACCTACAAACATTAACATATTCATATATACTCAATAACAAATGACCACACTACTTCACCTAACAATCAACTTATGTGCCACTACAGTGTGATATTGAGACATCATGAGTCATTAAAGACACAGTGGACAAGCATGAAGGAACCTATTGAGTCCAAACCACAATTCAGTTAATACAAAAGTAAAGTTCCCTATACTTGTGCATGCTAGTAGACAAGTCATGAGTACCTTCGGTGTAAAGTACAATCTCCATATTAGTTAACTATCCACTATAATTGCCCAGTGTAACTCATAATAACACCCAACATATACAAAAAAAAAAAAAAAAAACTAACCTGTTGCAGCCAAGATTCTCAAAAGTTGTTTTTTTTTTTTTTAAATGACTGTGCAATGTCCTGATCCATTAAACTTTCTAATCAACCCATTTAGCAAGTTTTGGGCCAATGACTCCCAAACCAGACGGCTTTAGGGCATTAGGTGTAGAGACACCCCTACGGGGTTAATAACTCGAGTTGAAACGGCTACGAATCTGAACAAGTCATTCTTTTTATTTTTTCTTAACTGTGCAATGTCCAAGTCCCTTAAGCTTCTAATCAACCCATGTAGCAAGTTTTGAGCCAATGACTCCCAAAACCAGACGGTTTTAGGGCATTAAGTGTAGAGACACCCCTACGGGCTTAATAACTTGAGTTAAAAAGGCTATGAACCCAAACTAGTCAGGTGGTGTTTTTTTTTTTTTTTTTAAGAATCTTGGCTCCTCATTTATTCTTTTCTGCAACTCTAGCTATTATCAATGATGTACACAAAGGATTATAATAAAAAGATCACTGCTATGATAGTGTGTTCATGTGAATTAAGACATACTCATGACAAGTGTACTAATACCACAAACATAGACAACTCTCCTCGTGCAAACATGGCATGCAAGTATCTACCCAATAAACCTTTTTCATACAAGTCTACTATGCTCTCTAATTAACATATGCAAATATCATCACTCTACTAACAAAAAGTCACATCAAGTGAAGTAATGCAATCAAGTGAAACATGTATAAGCATGAATTATGAGCCAAATAGCAATGCACAAAAGAAAATATAACCCTCATCCCCCAACTTGAATATAACATTGCCCTCAATAGAAAAAGAAAGAGAAATGAGAGAATATTACCAGAATTGTAGATGTACATCCAGGTAGGCAGAGAGTAACATATACACACTTCACATTTTGTTTTTTTCTTTTTTTTGTTTTTTTGTTTTTTTGTTTTTGTTTTTTGTTTTTTTTTTTTTTGAAGAAAAGAAAGAACTAAAAAGAAAAAGGAAAATAAAAATAAAAATAAAAGAGACAAAGCAGTATATAGGCGAGTACTACGGAGAAGCCGGTGGTGGTGGTGGCGGGAAATGCTTGGCAAACAAGGCTTGCATCAAAGCGTGCGTCTTGAAGGCGTCATCCTGACCCTGTTGTCGGATGGCGAGGTTGTCGGCGTGTAGCTGATCGAAGCGCGCCTGAGAAGAGTCGCGATGCGCCTGAAAATCCGTACGCAACTCCATAAGACTCTGGTGGTGATCACGAAAAGTATGGTGGACCTGATCTACAGAGTGCTGAAGTTGTAAGTACTCCTCGCGAGTCATGTAGAGTGGGTCTCCTTGGGGAGGCACGGGGGGAACAAGATGAGCTGGGTGGTCATGTATGGGGTCCTGGGTCTCATCAACTGGGGCACCAACCGGCTGCGGGATGCGAGATATGCTGTGCTACCATTCCCGCTGGCCGAATATCGGATACCCTCTATCAATCTCCTCATCCTTAGCAATGGGGAGGTGGTTCAGCTCAAACACAAGTGTCAACAAATTGGCGAATGGTAGTGGCCAAGTCAGGTTCTACATAGGAGTAGGCCGAACTGCCTCACGTAGAAATTTCTGCAAATGCATCAAAATGAAATGCTCAAGCGGGACCTGATAGCCAAGTTGATACCCGTGTAAAACCCGCGCAAACCCCAAACGGCGCTCAGCTCGATGCCCAAGTGGAAGGACATTCTTATGGACCACGGAATCAAGGAAAAGCAAGCGGCTAGGTAGCTTGCTCCGCCGCAAGCATGTGAAACTGGTGTCACCGTGGCCTCGCGGGAAGTATTGCTGGATGAGGCGATGTATGGGTTGTCGATCCTCAACTTCCGGGAAGGGCTGATATTCTGGTTTGGCGAAAAACTCTAACACTGTGGCAATCATGGCTGAGGTGATGTGGACAACATGACCATCAATGTTAGAGAGCAGTCCAACCGCGGTGGGTGTCTCATGCAGGTTCTGGTAGAATAGTCGTACCAGATGAGGATAAGCGGGCGCGGTCACAGCGCAAATGCCCAACTGTTGCCGGAGTCGGAGCTGCTCACCGGCCCAAGTAGCGTCCTCGTCACGCTGGAAAAATTGCAGGTTGAACTGCATGAGCTTGTGAAGAGGGCGTGAAGCCCACTCCGGCCGTGGCAAGTCACCCGGTGGTGGTGGCGCTGAAGAGAAGGCACCCCTGGCCTTTTTGGAGGCCCAAGCAGAGACACGGCGACTCATATCCTGCACACACCAACAATAAATACAGATACCCGTGAAACCAGCATGAGAATCAAATAAAATATGAAAGCACAAATTTGCCCACTAATGTACCACATGCAATTCCCACTGTTTGTTTGTTTTTTTGTTTTTTTTTATTATTATATAAAAAATGAAATTAATTAAATAAATGAAATAAAATGACATTAAATTAAATTAACTAAACTATAAAATAAACTAAACTATAAAATAACTAAACTACAAAATAGACTGAAATATAGAATAAAACAACCAAAACTAAACATTTGTTTATTTATTTATTTTTTTAAGTGAAGAGAAGAAAATTAAATAAAACTTCAGAAAATAAAATAAAATAAAAACTAAACTACTTAGTAATTATATGAACAATGACATCATAGAATAAGATAAAAATAAAATCACTAACTACACAAGTATAAGAAAAATAAAAATAAAACCAAATTTCACTAACTAATTAAACTAACCAGAATCACTACGAAGCAATTTACACAAAACAAATAGAACAAATAAAAAAAAAAAACTAAATTAGGATTAGTGTTAGTACCACTATTTATAAGGTTTTTTTTTTTTTTTTTGCCCGCACGTGCGCCAAAAAGGGCCGCACGTGCGGTGCTCATCTTCCTCCTATGCCGAGTTTGGTTCTGGTTCTGCTTCTTTTTTTTTTTGTTGAACAAACTAATAAACATGCATTCTACAACTAAAGGAACACAAATAAAATTTTAAAAAAAAAATCATAATGACCACTAAAAATACTAAAAGAAATAAATTAGTCATGGCTAAGCTTTTATTTTATTTTATTTTTTTTAAGGATGAACACTAGATCAGAATAAAAAA